CTCTCTCTCTCTCTCTCTCTCTATATATATATATATATATATATATATATATATATATATATAATGAGAGATGCATATACATGATCTATTACTAAATTTCGAATCAAATAGTATCTTGCAGGGTCCTTTGGTTAAATGACCTTCTGACTGATTTTTTTTAAATCCGCACCCTTTTGACAGGTTGGAGAATGACACTGTTTAACGGAAGAATGTTAGTTCCATACACAAGAATACCTAGAAACTTGTCAGAAGGTTATTCAGCCAAACGACCACCCCTTTCTTTGGATGAGTCCTTACCATCAGGGTGAGCCATTTTCTGCATAGCCGTAGGTGCGATCATGATGGGCATTGAAATCTTGAAGCCCAAAACCGTTGTGGTCAAATCTATTTTGCTCACATCAATAAGTATCCGGGGTCGGAACCTAGTTTTTAACATAAGAAACGTCAAAAAGATTAACAAGTGACATGCTGATTATCAGAATACGAATCTGCATACAACTTTATGAACTAAAGAAACAGCTTACAAGATTCTTGAAAAAGCATTTCGATTCTCTTTAAGAGTCCATTGGTCTTCTGCACCCGATGCATAATAATCATATATCATCTTGGGTAACTTCTCCTTTGCAAGTGCCTCATATTCCATTACATTCGTTATCGCCATCTTTATAGAAGACTCAAAATCTACTGGAAAAAAAGAAGTATAAGGTCCATTTCAAGTCATGTTTATTTCATATTAACCCGAAATCCACATCATTAGAAAACTAGGAACCTAGTATCTAAGTTCATCAGGTTGTGACACAATTCGGCAACCCCAACCGGGCCCCTAGGAACCACATGTGAGGAGGCATTTCAAAGCTGAGTCAGTAGCCAAGTCTATTTGAACTTGAACTTGTTGGGTATTTGAGCAAAGTTGCTCCGCCCCTTTTGCCAACAGAACTACACGCTCGAGGACCAGATTGTGACACAATTAATGCATCTTTTTGTGAAATTAGCATCGAATCTGTAACTAAAGTGCTAAAATGGACCATTTGAGCTACTGTTTTTGCCATTTAATCATTCATTTTGTAGATATGAAACATCCATAAATACCAACAATCAGATTTTCTAAAACCTTATTTGAATTATATCCTAGGATTTCAAATCCGTACAACCAAACAATCAGATTTTCTAAAATCTTTGCATTTGCATTATGGACTCACTTATGATCTTAAAACAGTAAACAGGAGTATGAAGAACTAAAAACTGCTATCAAAATAATTCAACATCCCATCACGTAACTTTAGCAACTACTCATACGATCCATCGTAAAGCAAGCAATCTTGAACTTAAATCAACACAAGCATATAAACCAATCAAGATCATGAAAAAAAGCTACAAGAATTTGGGATTTCCCGTATAGATGATGATAAACCCAAAACCCAAATTCCGATCAAGAGTGTCCATGTTAATCCAAAACCCAAATTAATTAAAGGAAAAAGAGTAATAATCTTAAAAACCATCGAACGAAAAGCAAGCTAGAAAACACCAAAATGGAATACAAAAAAACGATAGGAACTCGTAAACCCAGAAATGATGCAGGAAAACACACCTTGATCGAGTGTTGAAATCTTTCTACTCGATATGTAAAACAGGAGAGATGTATGTATATATATATGATGATGATGATGATTTGATATGACCAAAAGGGGGCTGGTGAAGAAACCGCGAAGTTTCACGGGTAAATACAAACAAGAATTTGGGTGCAAGAGCCCACGTGATGGATGAATTGTTATGTATATCATTCTTTGTGATTCAGATTAGTATTATTTATGGGGGCTGCTAATGGCAACACTTATAGGGGTGTTGAATGTATTGAGAATTGGGATGGGTTTAAAATTCACAAACATCAAATCAATTTTAAAAATATATTATATTTAATTATTATTAGTATTTAATATATATATATATATATCAATTAATTAAGTTATATTATATAATTATATATATAATCTTTATATATTTT